TATTTTCCGTCATTATTTTTACCCTTGTCGTTTCTTTCCACACTTTCCTTTTTTTTTTCTTTAGTAATTACCTCGGTTTTACTCACCTATACAAATGCTCCTCTAGCTGAAGTGTTATTACATGCTCAAAACCGGTTTATTTACAGTGGTAGGTGGTTTTCTTCTTGGATCAGTGTGATGTATCTGTTCAGGCTTTCAAACTTAGTACTTCATTGTTGTACTTCTCTTTCCTTCCCTTCTAGTTTTTAGGATTTCTTCTGCATAAACACTAATACTTTTCTGAGGTAACTTTGTATCCACGTATTGTTAAATTTTTGGAGTGTCAAGTTGTCATTCTGGTCTCCCATTTCTTGTATTTTACACATTATTCATACACAAGTATTCATGCATGCATACACATACATGAATATACATATACATATATACTTATACTCATACATAACATATTGTCAAAGGTACAAACTGTTGCCATTTTTATTGAGGGTAGCTATTAAATTTTTTCTTCCGCAGTGGTTTTGATAAATTCTTTCTCTTGTTCTGTAGGGTTAAGATGGTCTTATGTGTTCTCTGCGTCATACTTATTTTTATTGAGAATAGCTATTAAATGTTTTCTTCCGCAGTGGTTTTGATAAATTCTTTCTCTGGTTCTATAGTGTTAAGATGGTCTTGTGCATTCTCTGGGTCATACTAAAAATTCTTTATATCTAGCAGTGGTATGCTTACAAGGCGAAGAGTATATTCTTTTTTATCCTCTGTTCTTTTGCTTTAGATTTACCATAGTTTAAGGGCATTGGTTTCCTTTATTTTTGAGTTTCTCCTTTTTAAAGATTTCCTTTGTCTTTGTTTTTTCAATGATCATTTTAACCCAATACTTCTGGGAAAAGTTTGTGGTCTCTTGGCCTCCATTCCAGGGATTAGTTGCAAACAATCTTTTATTTTGTATGAATAAGTTTTGCGAAATTGAGAGATCCCTTGTTTGTCCCTCAATAAAACTACATGCTATAATGACTATACGTAACTGACTGGGCTTGCTTCTGAGGCCTATTTCAGACATGGCTGACGTATTGCACTCACAACATTGCACCAATATGTAAGATGATACCTCTTTGTATCACTTGTATCCAAACATGCTTTTAATAATTTTCCACATTCATAGATGCATGGTATTCATTTTGATTACTAGACAGAACCTGTAGTAACCTGATTATGTACATTAAAGTCCATTTTAAATGATTAGGTTTGTTGCACTGTATGAGATCGAAAGTGGTTTTATTGAGGGATTAAAAAAAAAAAAAAAAAAAAAAAAAGTTTTCTTATTTTTACTAATCTTAACCCTTTGGATCTGGTTGCATTATGGAAATCACGGTGCTGAAAATAAAGGGAGTGGGTTATGTAAATAGCCAATAGGCCAGGCATGCTCAAACACTTATGAGCGCTGACAAGACTGTGCCTCCCTTTTGCAAAATTGTCTTTTGCAAACTTTTTAACCTTTTTTGCAATTTTCCAATGTCCATATTTATCTTTTGCTTAGCTTTATCTAGATGGTAATAGCTTATTATCCTTGCACAGACTCCATATCATCAAGTAAATAACTCAGTGCAAGAAAAAAAAATATATGGAACATTTGGTTATCTACGTCATATATATTATTTTTATGTAATTTTTTATTTTTTGTAAAATAACCTACGCTGCCGGTCACAGCAGCCAGGAATACGATGTGCAGCATGGAAATGGTGTCCTCCCTGGAGCTGGAGTCTTCCAGTCATGGCTTACGCATGTGACATTTCACATTCATTTTTCAATGGGAATAATGCCAAAACCCACTTCTAAACGCCAAATGAGTCAAATCAAACTCTTAAGAGGTTTGTGCGCTCGTGGCGAGTCTTTTCTTCCACCCTGGCCTTCACTCATGACAGCAAGTTCTTGTCACCTGGCCTGCTGCCATTTTGTCTGATGACAGTATGTTCACAACACCTGGCCCTTGACCCAGATTTTTCCATAACGGGACCATAACAGCATCCAGATTGTAGATGTTAGATAATAGATTTTATGCATTAGTATACAGTTTGCAGAAAACTCAAAAAGATATGAATAGATTTCTATGTTTTTTTTAATTACCAGAGGTGTGTCTTAGCTTAACTTTGATTCCAATAAATTTTGGTGGTGATCCTGATTGTGATCCAGATCCAGGAATTTTTTGAACAATTGCATCAGTTACCCCTATTGCTTTGCCTCTGCCAAGAAGGTTATGTTTACAGATGTCACCAGTGTACTTGACAAAGGTGATTTAAATATAATTCTTCAAGTATGAATATTTTTATCGCATCAGTGACCCTATTGCCTGTTTGCTTCTATTTTTAAAATATTTTTGCCAAGTACAATATTCCATAACACACTGAACTGCCACATGGAAATAGTGTCCTCGCTTAAGCTGGCACCCTCATTTACCCATGGAAATAATGCAGAAGCTTATTTCTAAATGTCCATTGAGTCTAATCTCCTTCCAAGAGCTTTTTGCACTCACCAAGAATATTGCCTGACATGATATTCCCATCACCTTGACCCAAAAAAATTTCTGACACATTCCCGTTACCTGCCACTCAGCCAAATCTTTTTATGGCTATATTCCCTGGCACCCAGATCCAGCAAAGCATACAGCATTGATGATGATTCATTACTTCGCATTCAGCTTGTTGGATGACGTGCTATTACCATGTACACCCCAGAGTCTGGTGTCCAAGACAAGTTTTTCAGCTTGACCATTTCAGCTGCCTCTTTTTCAGCTAATTTAACCTTGCTTTATTCTTTTTTTTATAGGTTCTTTTGCATGAGTAGATATAAAACATGTAGTATATAAAGCAAAGGCACTGGTATGATAAATTATCAGATGTTTACCTTAGAGTTGGTTGCATTGAGGATAATGAAAGCCTTAGAGGATTCTGAATGCAGACTAGGCTAGTTGTCTTGCTTAGTAAGATGAAGAGTTACAAAAGCAGCATTATCATCTTGCTGATTGATTCATAATTACTGACACACTCCAGCTGGTAGACTTTGTTGGCATTCCTCCTTTTTTTCCTTTTTTTCCTGTTCCATTGTTAGTGTCCATCTTGTAGACTGTCAAGACTTATATTTACAGGTGAATTGGATTATTGTTCATGAAAACTCATTACGCTCATCATGGCTGAGATTTTGCTAAACTCTGAAGTTTTTTGCTTATTGCTTTTTCTCATTGTGTATATATATCCAGTCAGATTTTATCTGGTCTTGCATATTTTCCTCCTTTCACTCTCCTTCCCTTCTCCCTCCTCCTCCCTACTTGAGTGCTCCCTTGCTCCCTTTCATCACTACAAAGTATTTCCCATTCTCTGATTAGTCAGTCACATGAACAAAAGCATGAATAAGAAATAAGATAAAAGGGTTGATAATATTCCCCTCAGTTTGCCTCCCCTCCCCCTCACTTCCCCAAAAGAGTCAATAGAAAAAAAAAAAATTAATGAATAAAGATATGAACAGAAGAGGTTGAGAACCGCTGCTGAAGAAAGGACAAGTAGCCCTCCCTTAGCAGTGAAGTTCTCTCATATTCACAGGTCGGTCCACTCAAGCTCCCCGATGTCGAACCGGAGGCGGCACATTGGCACTAGAGACAATCCCGAGCCCTCCAAGTGCCTGGGGGTATTCGGCCTGAGTGTGCATACCACGGAAAGACAGCTGTACACCATCTTTGACAAGTTTGGCCCTCTGGAGAAAGTACAAGTAGTCCTGGACTCGAAAGTGAGTATATGTATCTTTTCTTAATATTTATATATGCTTATATTTAAATTTTATTTTTATTATTAGTTTTTTTATTATTTATTTATTTTAGGTGGGGTTTCTGTTTCTTGAGGGATGAAAAGGCAGGAGAGCAGAAATAGAAATGTAGCTGGGGAATATGTTCATGATATAATATGTTGGTACATTGTGGTTAAGAAAATAGGTACTTTTTGATTTTGGTTGTTAGTGTGTAGTTTTGCCTCTGTACATCCATTTTCCTATCCATCTTTTCATCCAACCATCTTACCTTTCATCCAGCCATTCACTTATCCATCCATCTTTTGATACGTGTGTGTGTTGCTATATGTACATGCCAGAAGATCAGGAATGTGTATGTAGGTGTCTGTACATGTGTGTCTGTGAATGTATGCTTGTGTGGATCATCTCCTGACAGTCCTTTATTTCAGACGGGGAAGTCGAGAGGCTTTGCGTTTGTGTACTTTGAGTCACTTAAGGATGCCTCAGAAGCCAAAAATGAGTGTTCCGGGATGGAGATTGATGGCCGGAGGATCAGAGTTGATTATTCCATTACCAAGCGGCCACACACTCCAACTCCGGGAATATACATGGGTAGACCCACATCGTAAGTATGATGGCTCTTTTATTGATGTGAGGATTCTTTCGAGCTTGTTTTACCATCATTGTTGAGTAAAGGACAGTGCTTAGATTAATGTGAGATATTATGATCAAGAAAGCAAATATAAATGTACTGCTAGTTTTTTTTATAGAATCAGATAAAGATATATCCAATATGATTTTAGTTCATTTAGTGAAATATTACTGTTATTGATTTCCTAGACACAAAATATCATGCATGGGAATTAGAATACATTCTAGCTACTTATAAGGAAAAGCTGACCATCTATTCCTCTTAAGATTATCTTGATATCCCAGGAATTCCCTGTCATTCTGCCAGTTAAGGTGTTTTGACTGACCACTGCGACATCCCAGCACAAGCTGTGGAGGTCCCTCTCACATCTGCCTAGAGTGGTCCCCTTTTTTTTTAAATGTGTTAATCTTTGACCCTCTCAGAAGTCCTTTAGAACCAGCCTTTTTGCTTTACTCAGTATCCCTTGCTTTGTGCTTTAGTGTGACACTAGTTTGTTCAAGAGGTATCTTAGGACTTGAAAATATGGTGTATTCTAGCATTTCATCTACCCTCCACCTATACCTACTTGCTTTTTATATTACTCATTATATACCATTAAATGGTATTTCCTGATATTTTGTCCCCTGTTCTGTGTGCTAGCATTGTAAATATTTTGTTTTTAATCAGTTATTAATTGATGATGATGGTTATAGTTCTTTCCTTCCCACTCCTCCCTCTATGGAAATAATGCATGTACGGTTTGGAAGTTTTGCTCATGACTAGTACTTTATTATTGTTTTGCTAAAATTATGCAAGATATAACTTTTGAAGGACATTTTCTCACCCCCCCCACCCCCCCTTGTATGTTAATCCAAGGAATAATAGATGAAAAGAATTGTGTGCGTTTTCTCTTATCCAAAGGATGTAGCTAGCATAGGCTCAGTCTTTTAACCAACCAATTGCCTGCATAATTTTAACTGCCATTCACGCCATCCTTGCCTCTGTCCTGACCCCTCTCTCACTTATACCTGCATACCTAGGATCAGCCTCCCAGTATTCCAATAGGTTTCTTCCTTACCCTTATCTCTTCACCACCCATATTCATCCCCATTCAAAACAGGCTTCTAATGTTTTTTTTTTTCTCTCTCCTCTTTCCAACCGATCCTACACCTCCTCCTCCCTCAAACTCCCCTTCCGCTCCTTCCTTGATGCTGCTGCTGCCACCTCCTCCCCCTCCCATGACCTCCTCGGGCTACAGTCGCGGTGGCTACGACCGGGGCTACGGCCGAGGAGGCCACCGCGGAGACAGGTACCGTTCCCCGTCACCCCGTTACCGGCCTCGCTCCAGCGGTGGTCGCCGCGACTATTACGATCGTGGGTATGTACTCGGCCAGGGCGTTACCGCACAACTCAAGCCACCACAAGATATAATAGTTCATGTGGAGGCAAGCTAGTTAAAGCAAGTTTACAGAAGCTTCTTAAGTAGGCCAAGGGGCTGAAGATGATCAACTCCCAAGTTAATGGTGAAGGTGGTAAAGAATTGATGGATTGATGGAAAGGATTCACGGTTTGTTCAGAGCAACCCTCCAAAGGCAATTGACAAGTGCAGATGAAAAAACAGTAAAATTGTGAGGAAAAACCTGTGAACTGAAGATTTCTAAGAGATTTGAGGTAAGAAGGAGAGCAAAAACAGAGATTGAATTGAGATGCCTAATCCTTTCTTGATTTGTTGCTAGACTTTTATGATATATTTACAAAAGACAAACAAACAAACATACAAAAAGATTAAGGAAGAGGAGGAGAGAATAAATTTAAAAATAGAAGATGTTTAGCATGCCTTTTTTATTATTTTTTTATTTTTAATTTTTTCCTTTTTTTGTGATTTATTTATAGTTACAACGTACATTTCATTCAGTTCCCAACCTCCACCTTAAAAAAAAAAGATAAATGAAAGAATATTTTTTATTGTTATATATATTTTTTTCTTGTTTTTTTAGATTGCTATTTTACATGGGCTTCACTGTACCCCAGCTTGTTTGCAACATGTATACATTTTTTTCTTTACTCTTTTATCTACCTTATTTTTCCTACTACTTCTTCTGAAAGGAATCTTCAGTCATCAAAATTTGCAAGGTGTTTCACACAAGTGGAGAAAGGAATATCCTTCGTATGATAACCAGTTCTACCTCATTATGGATGTTGTTATCATTTCATTATCATTATTATGATTATTATTGTTATTGTTATTGATTATAGTATTGATATTTGATTTTACTTAATGTTATATATTTTTTTTTTATCTTTATTTTTTTACTTTCTCATTAGCATACTTTTGTACAGGAAAGTGATAATTCAAGATTTCATGCAGATTATGATTACTACCATTATTATTTCTTGAAAGCTATTTACATATAAAACTATTTGTTTATTCATTTATTTATTTTATTTATTCATTTACTTCAGTTTCACGTCTACATATGTTGATGTTTTTTTTTTTTCTCCCGTTTTTCTTCAAAGAGAAATAAGTTAAAAAGGATTCGAGCAGGATTCCCCCTTTTTATTGTTACTACAGCTTCACTATTTTATACGATCGTAATTATTAATGTTATTGTGGTTATTTTTTTTCATTATTGTTATAACATGTTATTATTTATTATATTATTGTTATTATTATTGCTGTTATCATTATCATTATTATTCTTTTGTTGTTGTTTTTATGATTGTTATTGTTTTCATACATTCTGAACTTGGTCAGTTACTTGAGGAGTGGCTTTGAGACTTCTTATAGCTATTTGAGTGATTTTTTAATTTTGAGTGTGTAAGTGTGTGTGCTTCTTTTAAAGAGGGGAAAAAAAGTATAAAAGTTTCTTTAAAATGCATAAAGTTTTATTGTGGATTTCGTTTGTGTTTTATCAGTAAACGAATGTAAAATAAAATAAGTTTTATAAAAATGTCTAGAGTAAGTATTCCAATTTACAGTAAGTATGCGTATTTTGTCATTTCGGTGTAAGTATTTGTAGGCACTGCAAAAATAAACAAACATACAAATAAACAAACAAACAAACATCTTTGTCAGTTCTTATGGGAAGTTTGGTCATATA